TGTGTTGGTCTTAAGTAAAACTAAGATGTAACACTGAATTGATTGACAATTTATACTTTATACTTTAAAAAACACTCAAATGAAGTGGGGACATTTTTGACCACTGAGGACCACAGGTGTATGGAAATCGGGAGGACATTATGAGGGTTAAGTCTAAATAGCATAATTAGGTTAGTACACCATCCTCCGTATGCAGGCATCATTTTTTCAGGTATTACTCCATGCAGTCTTCCTCTGTGTAGCACTGAAGGATGGCTCTGTGCCATCTAAAGCTCGTCCACGCAGTCATGGGTCAGATCACCATAAAAGTGGCAACAAAACCACTCCCTTCACCATGAATTATATTTAGAGCACAGTGGTATGTAGGCTTAACCTGCATCCTCACTGGACTCCTCAGCTGCCACTCAGTTCAACAGAAACACCTCTTGACAGCGAGGATTTTAGACTTTTCTTCTCACAGGAATGTTTTCATCTGTGCTGAGACAAGACAAGGGGTTTAGCTGTGGTGGCTTGTTGAGGACTGGGCATTGATAAGGTCAGAGTAGGAGGGAGGGCACCAAGCAGAATCCCAGAGAAAACTGCCTGAGAGAAGTTTATCTTTGGTGCTGCAGTTTCCTCAGCAGCTCAGGAGAACATGGCCTCGCTGTGAAGTGAAGAGGTCAAGTGACTGAAAGAAATGAACTTTATCAGGTAGGTCTTTCTTAATCTTTCTGGGATGTTACTATTGCTTCGCTAGCAGAATTATTATGAAGAAAAAATATGAAAGGAATTTTGAACAGAGTGAAAGAACTCCACATTCATCTGTGGTGAAAGAAGTTGATCCATGTGACCATGTGACCATATGGATTTAAATTTTTTGATTTGTTTTTTGATTTTTTTAAAATAATCACTCAGGACATTTTTAAGTATTTTTTTCAAGTTTATTTCTTTTCTAAGCCGTAACAAATATGATATGAGATCTAAACTAGACACCTAATTCTGGAGTCGGAGTACTGTGTCACAAGATCAGCGTCGATCCTGAGAGTCTCACCCAGGCCGCTCCGGGGCTATCTCTCAAACACAGCCATCTGTGTCCCTGCACTTTTTATCAGATTGTTCTGACAACATTTATGAGTACAAACGGGTGAATTCATGATCAGCATTCTCTCGGAAAGTTGAACGTGGGATTTCTCAAGACCAATACTAAATGGATTCATCATACTATATAAATTAACTACATATCTAAACAGTAAAGCAATCAAACAGTTTACACTGAATGTGTGTTTTGTTTTAAAATTAAATGTGTTTAAAATGTAAAAACCTTGAGATGAATCAGTGACATTAAAACTGCACTTGACTGATTTTATGTCGTGTTCTCACATTTAAATGTGTGGCACACTCCTCGTCATAATTTTTTAAAACGGTTCATTAAAAAAAGTCTGAACTGCACTAATGGCAATGTTATCAGTTAGTTATCCAACATGGTATTGTATACTGCAAAGTACAAGTATGACAACATAGGGGAATTTTAGATTTACATACAAATTAGACTCATGTACCCTTGACCCTGTGCTATGGTGAATTATTGTGCTATACACAATAACATGAAAAGGAAAGTTCTGATAGGACTCTATGTAGTCCTGCAAAAAACTAAATGCACCTTCACTATTTCCACAGGAACTGAGAAGGTAAATAGCAGCTAGATACTACTAATAATACGTCTTTAAATGAATAACTAATTAAATAATCATCAGCAAGTGGGACCACCTCTATAAAGTAGAGGTTTTGGGAGTTTTAACACAGTGCCACACTTCCCTGCATGCCCAGGTGTCAAATGTGAAATTTTATGATATTTCATTTAGAAAAGGACCAAACTTGCTTGAAAGGAAAAAGCCTTTCTGCAAAGAACCTGGCAGCATGCCTTAGGTTTGCAAAGTTGCATCTTTGCAAACCTAAGCAAAAACCCCTTATACCAGTTGTCAAGCAGTGGTGGAGGGGTGATGATTTGTGCTTGTTTAGCAGCCACAGCCTCTGAGATCCTTGTAGGCACTGAGATGACCATGAACTCCTCTGTATACCAAAATATTCTAGTGTCAAATGCGAGGTCATCTGCCTGACAGCTAAAGCTTAGCTGAAATTGGCTCATGTAACAGGA